GGTAATGCAAGGAATGTTGTGATTGGTTGTCAAGGCAGTCAATCAGAATTTAGCAGCCTCGTCTCTGATTGGCTGGAATTATGGCATATTGTAAGAGGCTGGGTTGTGTTGAGCACGCGAGCTGTTGGCATTTAGAGAGCACTGAGGGCGGGCATCAAGGGAGCAAGCTAGTGAAATGTTGCACGCGCAAAAGAGAAGGTGTGCACACATCCAAAAACTTGTTTTAAATGCAAAATTGATTTTCGTGCGCTCGAAATACTTTTTTCTTTGCGAAACGAACGTTTTCTCCACAAAACTCAGATCGCGTGCGTGCAAAATGCACTTTTGTGCCCTCAAAATATGATCTTTCGCGCGCAGAATTGTGGCAGAGATCTAAGCCTATATAGGTGCATCTCAAACGAGCCTAATATCAGCGAAGGGAGCAGTGAACACTGCGTAGGGACCCTGTCAATCGGAATGCACCTTAAAAGACATTTAATTTTTTGTGTGTGGTGCTGTTACGTCATAAGGCTGCGCCTCTCTTCAGCTTGTGAAGGAAGGTTTGTGTTTTTAAGCGTTTAACGTACAGTGTTAAGGTCGATACAAACCCTTCTGTGTATGTTATAGCTTTTACAAACGATGTAAAGTTTATTACTGAATGTAACACTGCAGTGATTCTAACGGTAATGCACGTATTGTTATTTTTTTTTTTGTAAGTAAAGCACATCCGCACATGTTGAACAGATAAATCGCGTTTCATTTCTCTCCATATATCGTGAATCAGTTTAACGTAAAGAATAATTCGATCACTGTGAAGTAGTGATGGAGAAACGAAGCTGAACCAAATGTTTCCCAAAGTGATTCGCTGATTTTAAGCGCTCGAATGGCCGCTTGCTGAAATCACAGTGAGAACACAAACATTAACGTGTAATGACTGGCAGCTTTTACAAACAAACCACAAACGCTGTCGTGAATGTCAAAACGATTAAATGAGATCTACTAATAATTAAGTGCCACATCTACATTACACATATATAAAAAGTAGCTTTCAATATAAATAAATAAATAATGTAAATAAATATGACAAACACATATTTGATGTTTTATTTTATTTTAATCAGGCCATTATTGTTCTGACTGACTCCTGACTTCTGGTCTAGGGAGGCAATCGAGACATGGTTCAGAGATTTAGTACTTTGTGTTTATATTTCTTTCTGTTAATAATTCTCATCTTACTCCTCTGACAGAGTGTCCAAACAGCCAGAAAACACCAGGTGAAGTGACTGAAATCTACGATATTGTAAGGAGGATGTTTATTAAAGAGGAGAGCGAAGACATAAAGATTGAAGAAGCATTTAGAGTGAAACACGAAGCGTCTGAGGAACAAACAGGTCAGTTTCTTTCTCAGCGGAGCTCAGTCCTGATTGAAATGTTGACCTTTTCAGAAATTAATAGTATTTTTTGAGCGGATTTGTATGACGTGGAGAGGGTTGCCTTGTTGACAGACATGTTGAGCAGTGTTGCCAAACCCCTCCCTCAGAAAATCTCTAGAACCACCCTCAAAAGTCTAAATTTTTCACAAAAAGTCGCCAAATATGAAAACAAAGTAAATAGAGGTAAATTTCTAAAAATCCTTTAACGGATTTGAATATTAGAAGCGTATTAGTGTGTTATGTGTAAGCCAGGTTAAAGAGATGGGTCTTTAATCTAGATTTAAACTGCAAGAGTAGAACAACCTTTAAACAACCTTTTTAAAGAATAATTTGTTTTTTTTTCTTTTTGAAGGTACAAAGTCAATCACAAAAAAAAACAGAACACTAAAATCAAGCAACAAGGCATTCAATTTGATCAGTTATATATTCATAGTGACGTGTCATTTTAAAGCACACTGCAACCTCTATACTAGTCTGCGTTCAGCTAAGTAACACATATTAAAAAATCTAATAAAACAATAAAACATTTCATTCATGGGAATGAACAGAAACTAGCCTCATGAAGCCTCTTATTAAATGGATGTCAACTTGTCTGTCTTCTCTTCTCTTGAAAATAAATAATCTAGGTCATGTATTAAGGTCATACATATTTTATTATGAACAACTACTATTAACAATATCTATGAAATTATACTTTTTCTTATTGATGTCACACTGAAGCTATGTGATTTTCATAGTAGTGCACCCTTTAAGCTCACCTTACAATAATATGACATCTTTAAAAAATACAGCAGTATAAAACCACAGACCAGCAATAAACTGTAAATTTACCATATTATGGATGTAAAGGTACAAGCCAGTAATGCCTGTGAAGTAATATATTAGCGTAGCACACAATTTTATACAGCTAGTCAGCTAACTGTGTTCTGTAGCATCTGCGCTATGTTGCTTAAACTATCTTTTGGATCTAACTATAATTATTTCCCACATCCAAGTTCCAGGTTATAATATGCAAAAGTTTAAACATTAATCTCTTAATTTTACAGTAAGTAGTGAAACTTACCCAAAATAAAGGCTTAAACATCTAAAAAATGCACATTTAAGGAGCTCCTTTTGGTGAAAGTTTTTAGACAGCTTCCAAATGGCCGCCAGACAGTGTGAACACACAGAGACTCATATCTCAGTGTGCACTGATCTGATTGACTTGAAATTACAGGAGGTATGTAGACACATGTATGTATGTATGTAAACACATCAACTGGTTAAGACATCAAGTATGATAATACATGATTTTTTCTTTTTATAATCTGAACTCAAATATGGAAGTGTGCCTAATGGGTACACGAGCTTAATAGGTACGTTGTCGTGTAAACGAACAGGCAAAACGCATAAAAAGTTTCCAGTTTTTGGCTGAAAATGTTGTTGTGTAAACGGCCCCTTAGTCAGCTTTGACGAAACTCCTCTCAGCTAGCGCGTCTTTTCAAAGTGACTGTAGCCTTGTCACCTGACCTGAATACAGTGCGCTGAATGTTTTGCTAAAATAGACTTATCAGCTTCTGTTCACAAACAACAAGGGCACTTGTCGGCATCTGCAGTAAAACGTGAACTCGCGATGCTTTGAAAGTGGACAATACCAGCTTTTTTGACAAAACGTGTTTAGGGTGTGGAGAATAATGCACGGCAGTTTTTTTTAAAAAAAAGTGGTGTTTATCAGTTTTTGCAAATAAATTAATATGTCATATGTAAAATATCAATTTAAAATTTTAGTTTTTTTTGTTGCAGAGGAAAAATCTATGTTATGGACATGACATCTCTCCGTTACTGATGTGACCGTTCTGAAAGCGGAATTTATCCGACTATGGAAATGCGTATAAAATGCTTTTACAGAGACGTCTAGTGGGTTAATAGGGCTAGACCCCCCCCCAAAGATTTTTTAGTTAACGAATAGTCGTTCGTTTAAGCCATTATTTAACTAATCGCACATTAAATCAATATACTAATCGATAATAAGCTTCAATATATTCCGTGCTCAATCACACGCATAAAGTTTGTCATAAAGCACAGGCAAAAGTAGCCTAATGATTATTAATGTATAGAAAAAGGAGACTTTTTAAGTATTTATTAATAAACTAATGTTTTCTCCAGTACTGGATGTGGCTTAAGAGTGAAATGAAACCTTCAGCTTACATAAACAGGGAGTATTTAATTTAGTTTTTAATTGGTCTATTTAAAAGTAGACTTTTTAAGCTTTCTATAGACATATTTCTCTTGTAGCCTATGTGAGAGACACGCTGAGTTTTGGTTCTTTTTTTGAGAAGCGCTCCAGTTCACAGAGACAGCACATTCTGTTGGTTTTCATTATTTTACAAAAGCACATTTTGTTGTTATTATGAATTTACATAAAATCAGTTTCAAACTGATTTGAAGTTGTTTCATTATCAGGAAAAAATGCAAGTGATCGCGCGGGCGCCTCCCTGTCATGCATGCGCATTAATATGCCGCACAAACATTTGAATATGGGTCAAAAATATAGCACATTTATGAGTTAACGCTAGAGTTTGGAATCCACATTAAAATGTGGAAAATAATGTTTTTTGAACCTTAAACCGCATAAACACATTGCATTACACCAAATACACAACATAATGTTCTTTTTAGCAACCTCATATGACCCCTTTAAACGGATGGCACTAAAAAAACGTTTTAAAGACTTGCTTATGCATTAAATAACTAAGATACAATACAGGTTAAGTAAAATACGCTGAATATATAATATATAATACAGGTTAAGTAAAATATGCTGAATATATAATAGGCTATTTGTAACTATTGTACAAATATTTACAAAATAGGACTGCAGATTCACATTTTGCTTCTGCATTACAAAGTGAAAAAAAGATAACCCCACATGCGCGCCGAACACGCAAAATCTTGCACTCTGCTTGCATGCAGCGCAGATAGCGACGAGAGTTATTTGAAACATAAAATATTTAAATAAGATAATATTGACATTGAACATTATGACATATTATATGACATTTAAAAAGATAGCCAGTAAATCTCCATCACGTGCTTTCAGATGGAGCAGCATTTACTACACAGAGCCGTAGTTCACTGACAAGCTATGCAATATCGCGTTCATTATCGGCGATGTATGTGATATTGTGTAGCTTGTCAGTGAACTACGGCTCTGTGTAGTAAATGCTGCTCCATCTGAAAGCACGTGATGGAGATTTAATACTAATCACAGAACCGGCTTTACTGACTAGATGCGCATAATCGTTTTCAATTATTTGCACAGCCCTAGTTGATAGCTTGCTGAGCCACTTCGACAGGTTGAGAGTTTGGAATCTCCGTTTCAGAGCCGGGATCAGAAGCTTGATCTACCAGAGATAATACCTCATCTATGTCCATGAGACATAATTCCGGGAAGGTAGATTGACAGCAGCAAGTGGAAAACTGTAACATAAGCTTTCATAATCGCGCAACGTGCTGAACACTGGCTAGGATACAATATATATGCTTACGTGGATTAGCAAGTACTCCAGATTGGCTGGTGCTACGGCGTTGAATGGACCAATTAGCGGTTAGTTAGTTTCATGCCTGAACTATGTATTTAAAAAAGTGAAATCACAATCAACCACCCCTTTAAATGAAAAGTGTGTAACGTACTTTGGTTAAAATTTCTCAATTGTAGTGTAAAACAACACCCTTTTTACCCTGTCAAATATAACTCTGTTCACAGCAAGCTGTTTTGTTGCATGTCCCTTTAAATGCTAATGAGCTCTGCTCACCCCGCCCCTCTCTTCCTTGGGGTGACAAGCCATTCTCTTAAGAGAGACTCTTAACTTTAGCTGCATTCATCGTGAAATTTGCTAACTAGCACATTATTAGGAAAGGCGATTTGCAAATATTCATAAAAAAAAAACGTACACTCACTTCTGCTGTAGGTGAAGCTGGATCACGAATGATTTGCGCGAACATAGATGCATTTAGGTAGATCGGGGGCACGTTCCCTTCAAAAACAAATGTAATCCACTGCGTCTTCAGCTGCTCAGATGTCGGGAGTAAATGACGACTGCTATGTTCATTAGTACTTCAAACAACAAAACACCTCAATCGCTTAGGAGTCATTCTTGTCTACACCTGCTCTGGCGTCGAAACAATGGCGGACTGTTGACAGCTCACTCAGGGCGGGTCTGTGATAAAACACCAGTGTCAATCAACAATCGTGGGAGTGGACTGGGTATGTGTGATGTCACACAGCCAAGAATCTGAGATCGGCTTGATTTGAGAAAGGGGTTATCATTTATCAGGATTAAAAAAAAAAAAACACTGGGTGGATTTTTATCATTAGAGGGTGGTTGTGTACACACACTGCCAAGACAGATTTCAATTCAAACAACAAGTAAAAATGAATTTTGCATCCGATGACCCCTTTAAGAAACGACTAAAAACAAAAATCTCTTCCATTTTTATTTGACCCTCTAACTCTAGCCCTCTCTATTCTAATTCTATTTTATTTTTGTTTTATATTTTTATTAAAAAAAGAAACACTTGCATTCTGTATTAAGTTTTCTAACTGCTTGTTTTCTTAAAGGCCTCTAACACTAGCTTTCTCTATTCTTTTTCTGTTCTATTTACTTGTTTTCTTTCTTTTTATTTATATATATATATATATATATATATATATATATATAACATTTTTTTTCTTTACACATTACTAAACAGAAGTTGATTACTTAACAGTAAAGTAAGGAAGCACACACGCTGAGATGCACTGAAAGGGAATGACCCACTTTATTTCGAAAGTGGATACAGTATGCAGTGCAACACTCTTACTTTTTGTTTTATTTTTGCTACAGTATTTACATTTATACATTGGGAAAATATATGTGTGTGACAAGGAACATACATGCATATAAATATAAACCTTGCTACATGTATTGCGTCAGGCTAACCAAAACTTGTCAGAGCACTTGCGTATTATTGCTCTTTTGTTGGTTTTGATTGCTTCTATTGTCCTCATTTGTAAGTCGCTTTGGATAAAAGCGTCTGCTAAATGACTTAATGTTATGTCATGTAATGTAAATGAATGATCTATGACTTTTTTTCCCTTTGACCAAAAATGACGTTCTCTTCTAAGTTTATATCACTCTAAGCATGAAAAAATGCAAGTGATCGCAATGGCGCCTCTGCTGACCCATGGGGGTTAAGCAAACATATTTGTTGCTTATTTGCTTTAGAACAAGCCAAAGTGGCTTCAAATATCTGTAGCCATTTGAAATTAGAGGCACCATTGCATTATAATTATTATTCAAACAAAGATGTTACACACATGTTGCATGAAAAGTTGTTTTGATTCAAATAAGATTGTGTAACATTGGGATTTAAACACCTGCACAAAACAAAACTAGCACATGGACTGAATGAAAATGCACATTCATTTTCTGCCACTAGGTGGCACTTATAGAACAGCAGTGATAGAGCATTTTCTCTCTTTACAGCTGAACACAAAGCATCGGTGTGCTTATAAACACTACTTTATATGGCGCTAAAAGAAAACACCATCTAAACTTTCCTGAAGACAGTTCCATTCAGAGATTCCTATTAAACTCCCACCCCCAGTTTATATTTGCTTCCTATATTTCATGCATTGTGAACAAGTTTGCTTTGCCTGCCTATTTTCTTTCTGCTGGCACGTCTGTTCTCTCTTCTTTGTATCCGTATTCATTGCATTCAATCTTTGGCTTGTGTTAACATCCTTTTTATAGATGGATAATATTTCCACACCAATTATATTTTTGGAAGTTGTTGCAATGCAAGTTTGTGTGCTAGTCCAGTGCAGAGATCAGCCAAAACAAAAAACGACTAGTTCTGATTTATGGCCAGTCGACTGGTGCATCTCAATTTCAAAGCATAGTAGTTATAGGACAGGTGTGTCCTACTCCTGGAGGGCCACTGTCCTGCAAAGTTTATCTCTAACCCCAGTTAAACACAACTGCACTAGCAAATCAATGTCTTCTGGCAACTTAGGAAACTTCCAGGCAGGTGTATCGAGCTAAGTTGGAGCTAAACTCTTTAAGACCTCCAATAAACTGAGGTTAACTTTAATTTGTTTGTTTGTTTTTTCTCCTTAGACCCAATGGCACTGAAAGAGGAGAGGGAAGTACTCGATGAAATTGACGTGAAAGATCAATATGAGGATCTTCTTGATTTCACAACTGGAGATAAATCTTTTTGTTGTTCACAGACTGAAAAGTCCTCCACACGAAAAACAGCTCAAAAGAGAGGGGAAAAAAGTGATTTTACTTGTTTTAAGTTTGGACAGAGTTTCAATCAAAAAGTAAAACCTCAAGTCCATTTGAGAACTGGAAAGAGGCATTTCACTTGCCAACAGTGTGGAATAAGATTCACTCTAAAAGGAAGCTGGAACAGGCACATGAGAATTCACACGGGAGAAAAGCCTTACACCTGCCAACGATGTGGAGAGAGTTTTGCTCTACATAGAAACCTTAAATTCCACATGAGATTTCACACTGGAGAGAGCCTTTTTACCTGCAAACAGTGTGGAAGAAGTTTCAAAAGAAAAGGAAACCTTCATTCCCACATGAGAATTCACGCTGGAGGGAGCCCTTACACCTGCCAACAGTGTGGAATAAGTTTCACTCAGAAAGGAAGCATTAACAGGCACTTGAGAATTCACACTGGAGAAAAGCCTTACGCATGCATTCAGTGTGGAAAGAGTTTTGCTCAACTTGTAAACCTTAAAGTCCACGTAAGAATTCACACTGGAGAGAGCCCTTACACATGTCCTCGGTGTGGAAAGAGTTTCGATAAGAATGAAAACCTTAAAGTCCACATGAGAATTCACACTGGAGAGAAGCCTTATTCATGCCTTCAGTGTAGAAAGAGTTTCAATACTCATGGAAGCCTAAAAGTCCACATGAGAGTTCACACCGGAGAGAAGCCTTACTCCTGTCTTCAGTGTGGAAAGAGTTTCAGTAATCAAGGAAACCTTAAAGTCCACATGAGAATTCACACCGGAGAAAAGCCTTACTCATGCCCTCAGTGTGGAAAGAGTTTCACTCAAAAAGTACGCTTTGAAGCCCACATAAGAATTCACACTGGAGAGAAGCCTTTCACCTGCCAACAGTGTGGAAAGAGTTTCAATCAACATCGAACCTTGAAAGACCACATGAGAATTCACACTGGTGAGAAGCCGTTCACCTGCCAACAGTGTGGAAGAAGTTTCACTCAAAAAGGAACCTTTAACAGGCATAGGAGAGTTCACACTGGAGAAAAGCCTTACACCTGCCAACACTGTGGAAAGAGTTTCTGTCAACGTCGAACCATAAAAAACCACATGAGAATTCACACTGGAGAGAAGCCTTTCACCTGCCAACAGTGTGGAAAGAGTTTCTTTCAGCGTCGAACCTTAGAAAACCACATGAGAGTTCACTCCGGAGAAAAGCCTTACACCTGCCAACATTGTGGAAAGAGTTTCTGTCAACTTCGAACTATAAAACACCACATGAGAGTTCACACTGGAGAAAAGCCTTTCACCTGCCAACAGTGTGGAAAGAATTTCTATCAACATCGATCCTTAAAAGAACACATGATAGTACACACCGGAGAAAGGCCTTTCTCTTGCCAACAGTGTGGAAAGAGTTTCTATCAACATCGAACCTTAAAAAACCACATGAGAGTTCACACTGGAGAAAGCCCTTTAACCTGCCAACAGTGTGGAAAAAGTTTCGATCAACATCAAAACTTAAAAAAACACATGAGAGTTCACACTGGAGAGAAGACTTTCACCTGCCAACAGTGTGGAAGAAGTTTCAACAGAAAAGGAAACCTTAATGTCCACATGAGAATTCATACTGGTGAAAAGCCTTATACATGCCCTCAGTGTGGAAAGTGTTTCACTCAAAAAGTGTGCTTTGAAGCCCACATAAGAATTCACACTGGAGAGAAGCCTTTCACCTGCCAAATGTGTGGAGAGAGTTTCAATCAACATCGAACTTTAAAAGACCACATGAGGGTTCATACCGGAGAAAAGCCGTTCACCTGCCAACAGTGTGGAAAGAGTTTCACTCAAAAAGGAACCTTTAACAGGCATAAGAGAGTTCACACTGGAGAAAAGCCTTACACCTGCCAACAGTGTGGAAAGAGTTTCAGTCAACGTCGAACTTTAAAAGACCACATGAGATTTCACACCGGAGAGAAGCCGTTCAACTGCCAATAGTATGGAAAATGTTTCACCCAAAAAGGAAGTGTTAACAGGTATGAGAATTCACACCAGAAGAAAGGCATATACCTGTCAACAGTGTTGAGAGTTTTGCGCAACATGGAAACCTTCAAGTCCACATGAGAATTCACACTGAAGAGAGTCTCTTCACTTACCAGTTTCAACTGAAAAGGAATTATTAACCCTTTGGGGTCAGAGGAGGTTTTTGGGCCCTGGTGATGTTTTGACTTGCCCTAACATTTGTGCTTATTTCAGTTTTTAATTGGTGTTTACACTGTATTCAGTACAAACTGTTACAATAATGTGTGTAGCATGTATGTAATTTTTTTTTTTTTTTTTGAGGAAACATTTAAGTGTGGTTAATGGAAAAAAAATATTTTGTAAGTCACTAAAATAAGCCCGTAAATGCATCCTGAACATACTTTAGAGAACTTGATCCTGTAGCCCAGTGTTTCCCAACCGGGGTGCCGTCTGTCGAGAGCATCCTCTGATAATAATAGCTTTCTAGGATTAAACATTATTTGGATAATTGGTAAAAATTTTTTTTAAAAATCTCTTAATAGCCCTACTGTGTGTTAGACCTACCTGAAAAACTAAAAAAGCAATTTATTTAATTCGAAGGCCTGTCGTTATTTTTTATTTGTGCTATCATTATTAATTTCTTTATTTGTTCTTATTTTATTACTGACTGCTTACTTGTTATTTTTTATTCAATTCAAAGTTTGAAATCAAGCTATCTCGTGCTACTGCACCAAAATTACCCCACTGTAAAATTAAAAAACACTGAGTGAGCAAAAATGTGTGAGATAGCTAGTTATAATGGTAATTAAATAATGTTTACATATGTATAAAATTATATACATTAAAATCTGTCATATAAATTGGTCTCGTCATTAGAAATTAGCCTACTGATTGGCACCATTGATGGACAATTTTTTTTAATAATATTAAAAATATCTGTATGACATTATATTCTGCAGTTCTTGCCTGTTGTACCGAATATCTATACTTTTCAAATTATCACATCGAAGTTAGAAATTCAAATATTGTGACAAAATTAATTTTGTAGGGTGCCACAAGTTTTCCAAAGGGTGCCGCGAATACAAAAAGGTTGGGAAACACTGCTGTAGCCTATAGTTTTTACTACAAAATGAGGTGAAAATCATCCTGCTCTATAAAGCAATATTCGTTCCCCAAAATGATTCATATAAAACAATATATTGTTTTAAGTATTGTAATAAGCTTTTTTGTGATGTCAGTAATGAAGCTTATTTCACCTCGATCATGTAGAATATCCATCCTGTGTAGATGAACTTACTGATGTTGGTACAATTTAAAAATACAAACAAACAAACAAATAAATAAATAAATAAATACAAGTTTGAGCAGATATTCGTCAACGCAGTACTTCACTGTAAACACTTGTCTAAACATTCTTAGGGTGCTTTCACACTTGGTTCGATTGCCTGGTCCGAACCAGAGTTCGATAGCTCCCCCTGCCCCCGCTGGACTGTGTTCATATTATTTTATTTGGGTCCGAACCTCGGTTCGTTTGCGTCATCAAGCCAGCAGCTGTTTACCATGTTGCTTAGTAACGACGGCGCAGGAGAAGGCGGCAAAATGCTTAGTTGCTTTCTTCATTTTTATATATTTATGTTTTTGAACCATTGGTTTTGTTTCCAAAGCTTCAGTACATAAACGCACTTACGTCTGTCTTACAAATGTACTACAAATGCTCTAAAGAATGCTAAAGGCAAACAGAAATGAGATATACAGCTCTCTGCTTACAGCGTGTCACACTCGTCAGGAAAGTGAGTGAAACACACAAACATTTTTATCAAATAATACGTCATTAATAGCGGTTCACTTCCGTGATTTATTACGATTGCGTTCACATCAGCAGCGAACTGTACCGGAGACCCCAGACCACCCTTTTTAAGCGGACTCGGGTACAGTTCACAGGTGCGCACCCGAGTTCGGAAGACAGCGTTCACATCATCCAAACGAACCGAACTCTGACGTCAATCGAACCCGGGTGCGCACCAAAAGTGCTAGTGTGAAAG